CATTTGCAGATGATCAGGTATATTTTTTTTTTACTTTAATGTTTTAGTCCCTGCTAGTTCAGTAAACTTTTTTCATGAATTTTACCCATCCAGCTGTTTACCATGCTTGTCAAAGCCTCTTAGCCTTTGCACAGAATTTTGAATGTGGGGTGCTGGATATTGGCCATGTATGCTTTTAAAAGTATTTGTTAATTATTTGTGAAAGTATGTAACACTGTGTTGTGAGTGATAAATTTGTGCAAATGCATGCATTTCAACTGATGGTGGTATCTTCTCTTCTGAAAACAAATTACCAGAAACCCCCTGCTGCTTTTACTAAAGCTAAAAAGGGTGTTTCTGTTTTAATAGATTGGGCAGCTTTTTTCTACCTTAGAGACTGGTTTTAATCTTGACTTTAATAATGTTCTTTTCTAACCATCCTAAACCATAGTTTAACCTCATTTATTTGCATCCCTTATTTCTTATAGGTTGCCCAGTCTCTTTGTGGAGAGGACTTGATCATTAAAGGAATCAGCGTGCATATATCCAATGCTGAACCTAAGCACAATAGCAATAGGCAGTTAGAAAGAAGTGGAAGATTTGGTGGTAATCCAGGCGGCTTTGGAAATCAGGGTGGGTTTGGTAACAGTAGAGGGGGCGGTGCTGGTTTGGGAAACAACCAGGGTAGTAACATGGGTGGAGGGATGAATTTTGGAGCTTTCAGCATCAACCCTGCTATGATGGCTGCAGCCCAGGCAGCACTGCAGAGCAGCTGGGGCATGATGGGCATGTTGGCTAGTCAGCAGAACCAGTCGGGCCCATCAGGCAACAGCCAAAGTCAAGGCAACATGCAGAGGGAACCCAATCAGGCTTTTGGCTCTGGCAATAACTCGTATAGTGGCTCTAACTCTGGTGCAGCAATTGGTTGGGGTTCAGCATCAAATGCGGGGTCAGGCAGTGGGTTTAATGGAGGCTTTGGTTCAAGCATGGATTCCAAATCATCAGGTTGGGGAATGTAGACAGTTCTGATAACTATGGTGGGAATTAAATTTTTCTAAACTCATGGTAAGTATATTGTAAAATACATATGTACTAAAATTTTCAGAATCAGTTTGTTCTGTGTGCAGTATATTCAGCAGTATTTTTGACATTTTTCTTTAGGAAAAGAGGAAAAAAATTAAAGGAATTTTATAAGTTTTGTTACATAAAGGGTTGAAATACTGAATGGTTGAAAGTGAACTGCTATTTGCCTGATGGGTAAACTAACACACTACAATCGATTATAAAAAAAAAGATTTCTCCTGTGATATTTTATCCCTGGACTTCTCGTCAAGTGAATTTCTTTGCATGTTCAAAATGGAAACCATTAGTCAGAGCTACATTCTCCTTATTTTAATTTGATCCCCACCATACAGATTTTTCCTTAGAAAAATCTCCAATCTGGAGAACATGGTGTCATGATGTTGGTATTTTTGTTTCGTTTTGTTTTTGTTTTGTTTTTTTAACACTGTCTCTCCTCATATACTAAAGTATGATATGAAGGCTTCATTTAATCTCTGCAGTTCATCTCATTTCAAATGTTTATTGAAGAAGCACTTCATTGAAAGTAGTGCTGTAAATATTCCGCCATAGGAATACTTCTGTCTACATGCTTTCTCATTCAAGAATACTTCCTCACCCTGCACATGCTGCGTCTTTGACGGTGGGTGTCCCATTTTTATCCGCTACTCTTTATTTCATGGAGTCGTATCAACGCTATGAACGCAAGGCTGTGATATGGAACCAGAAGGCTGTTTGAACTTCTGAAACCTTGTGTGGGATTGATGGTGGTGCCGAGGCATGAGAGGATGGTATGAGCGAGAAACAGGAGAGAGCGCGTGCAGAGACTTGGTAGTGCATTGAACTTGGCGAGATGTGTCTCTCAATCCTGTGGCTTTGGTGAGAGAGTGTGCAGAGAGCAATGATAGCCAGTAATGTACGAATGTTTCTTGCATTCAAAGGACATCCACATGTGTTGGAAGACTTTAAGTGAGTTCTCTTCCTAGTTAACCAACTAGTTGAATGTGTTAAGTGACATGAATTATTTGTATTTTTCCCCTTATGTCAACTGCTGTGAATGCTGTATGGTGTGTGTTCTTTTCTGTTAATGACATGTAAGTGTGGTAATGTGACCTGAAGATGATGGGGGCTGTGACTGGGAACATTGACTGAGCTTGTGGTGTGCTTTGCAGGGTTTCTTTGAAGCAGAGTCCACCAGTGAGCTCAGGGTGTGTCTCAAAGAAGGGTGGAAGTTCTAATGTCTGTAAGATACCCCTAAGAATGCTGTTTGCTGCAGTTCTGTGTTCTGTGCTTGGATGCTTTTTAGAAGATTTGTCAATGTTGGAAATTCTTAAATAAAACTGATTTAAATAATATGTGTCTTTGTTTTGCAGCCCTGAATGCAAAGAATTCATAGCAGTTAATTCCCCTTTTTTGGCCCTTTTGAGATGGAACTTTCATAAGTTTCTTGGCAATAGTTCATTTTGCTTCAAATAAACATGTTTGAAAAGTTGTCTCAAGTCACATGGATTCATCACCTGTCATGCATTGACACCTGACACCCAGACTTAATTGCTATTTGTTCTTGCATTGTCCAAAATAAGTTCTGTTTTTTGTATTTTTTTAATCTAGTTTTTAATGAGTCTGGGTGACCTCACCTAAAATGGTAAGCAGTACCCTCCAACTTTCCTTAGTGCCTCTGCACATTAGGTGATATTCTTATTACACAGTTTGTATGAATTTCCACTTGGGGAAATCATGTCTACCTTTTAGAATGGTTTGATTTGGGGGAATGGGGTAGAGCAGTTAATGTTTAAAAGATTGCTTTTTTATGCTTTGTAGCAAAGCAGATAAGCTTTAAAAAAAAAAAAGGGTATACAGACACCCTACCCAATGGATATGAGAAGGGAAAGTGGAGTTAGTTGCAGTTGGGAATAAGGTTGAAGAAACCACAAAGTTTATCTTGTGCCTAAAATAGTCACTTAGGAAATGTGATAGCTTATGAACTAATAGATTAGGTTGGTTTCTTATTTGACTGCAGAGGGAAAAAACTGTTAAAAGAGTTGTCTTTTCCCTCTCCCCCAAACCTCTTCTTCCCCCCCTCCCCCCCTTGAAGTGGAAGCATAGTAACAGTAAATAAAATTATTTGCAGAACTCAGATTAGGCTCTTGTGCTGCATTGTTAAGTATGTGAAAGCAATAATGTGTTCATTCTTTATTATTGTATTTCATGTAAGAGCATTAGAGTTCTTGTGGTGTTATTGCTCCTAATGCCTTTTATCTAGTTGAGTTACAATAAATAGGTTTGTCATTTTGCAAGCTGGTTCACACAGTGAAGTCATGATTTCCTTTAGCTTTTTTGAGTAATCCCCAAGTTGTTTCATTATTCATTTTCCTCTGTAAAAGGATCTTGAGTTGTTTTAATTTCTTTCTGCATCTAAAGCTGCATGATGTCCAAATCCTGTACCATCTGAATTTTGCATTTTAGCCCTTGCACTATTACTCAGCAGCAGTAACATGGTAACACTTAAAATGGTATTCGGGGACCGCCAAAGACTAAACGGGCAAGGCTTCAAGGAACCCAATGGTAAGTTAACTTGTCAATGGCATGGTTTTAATCCCTTATTTACACTTGTATAAATCCAGAATCAAGTTATAGAATGCGTACAGTGTTGCGTAGTCTCTTATTAAAATCTATATGGGACTAAACAGCTATGGTGGGGTATTAGTTTGCCCTCAGAAAAAATGAAGTATATAAAAATATATTTTTTAAACTATTTGGTGTAGAACTGTTTTAAAACTATTTGGTCTTCTCTAAATGCATTTATTCTAAGTATTTTTAAACTTATTGAATAAAAGTTATTGTTGCCACCATAATTGTGTCTGGAGTCTTGCTGGAAAAAAAAATGGTAGCTTTTTTTTTCTATTTGTGTCTAGGAAACTGGAAGACACTTAATCATCTGTAGGAAGTGCCTCATACATAAAAGTCTATAATGACTCAGCTCCACAGTGAAGCTTAATGTAGGGTGATACTTAGAGCAGCTCTTACTAGCTGTGTGACCCTAGGCAAGTCCCTTAACCCCAATTGCCTCACTTAAAAAAAAAAAAGATACTTAGAGCAGCTGAACTGAAGAGATTTCAGCATGTCTTAAGGATACAGACTTATGAAATATCAAAAAGATTAGAAGGTTGAACCAAAGAGTGTTTAAGTGCATTGTCCTCCAAATATCACCTTAAGGGTATGCTGGGAACAGAATGGGAAGCGGTGACTTCATAATAGCTTACACATGACACCTTAAAGATTGCACAGCATTTTTGATTCTCAACACCTCTGAGACAGCATCCCGGGCATGAGTGAAGAACGTCACAGTTGTGATTAGCGTGCTCCTATCTAGTGGGTATCAGTAAAGAAGTTCAAACCAGTACCTCTGCTCCCACCACGTGGAACAGTGCTTTCTGCTGCTCTTGTCAGCTTTTGCCATTTAGGAAATTCTGAGGAACTTGGTTCCATTTTATGAATGCTCAGTTTGGTTACCCTTCTTCCCAGAATGTTGTACCTTAGAGTTTACCATTTACATTTATTGAGTACGTTGCAACAGTAAAGCGTCTTCACAATCTCATTTTGATTCATAGGAGCAATGGTACAAGTATACATTTCCATTTTCTAAATGGCGGCATAGATGCAGAGAAGTGACCTATAGTAGTGACCGTGGCCTGCAATGCGATACTCTGCACGTTGGTCACAAAGGGGATTGGCTGAAGAGTGGATGGAAAGTGCTGTTCGGTATTAGAAAAGCAACTCTGAATACAGTTCCTCCTCAGAGCAGACATTTGCTGCTTTGAAGGTAGTAAGGTTAACCTGGGCTGCTGCAGATGTAGTCTTGTGTGTTGAGTTTTCAGAAATCTCATCTTAGAATGTTTTCGTTTTAATTTCATGTTGGTATTCCCAGTTTAGACTACTTTGTTAGACACTTAGAATACATATTGCTTGGAAAGTACCTTTTATTAAGGGAGAAGTTATTGGAGGTTTCTGCAGTTTTAAGAATTATTCAAAATTATGTTCTCAATCCAAGAAATATAGTTAACAACATTGGTATAAACTCCGTACTGATTCGCCTCACCGCATCCTAAGCCCCAAGACACAATCCCTCCTACAAACCATTTTTTGGTCTCATGGTCTAGAAACACTAAGGGCCCTCCACTGTCCCCGGAACAAGAATCCTTTCCACCGCTTTGAAAACCAGCACATAGCATGTTGTCAGTTAGGACAAGAGGTTTCCCTCCCGGGGACTTCTTGTTTTCGAATGCTGCCAGACACGTTTGCTGGTCAACAACTGGTAACTCGGCATACATTAGGCTCTGGGCTCTGAAAGCCTTTGCAGTCCTTCCCCAGCCAGACACCATTCCCAAATCATTTGCTTTCACACGGGTTCCGTTTTTTCTTGGCAAGCAAATTGGTGTGACATTCCTGTTGATGTCAACATGATGCTTTAGCTTAATCAGTGCAATGTCATTGTTAAAGTTGGCCTCATCGTATGTGTAACCCTCATGTATAAAGACTGCGTCTGCCCAGGCTTCCGTATAATGAGGTGATAATCTCTTCAGAACGCCCATCCTGATTTCCAGAGACGATAGGTCTCTCTGCTCATGTATCGCATGAGCAGCCGTCAGAACCCAGTTGTCATATAATAGTGCACCTCCAGCCAGAGCTTCCCCGAGCAGCATGACTTGCCAGGGAAATTCACCAAGCCTGGCCTTGCTCCCTCCAAGCACTCGTTCCATCCTCTGAGATGCCACACCACAGACTGTTGGAAGGAGAAACAGTTGTGTTATGCATGTGAGATTACTGCAAAGTCAAGAAAAACACGGAGCTTAAACAAGTAGTAGCAAAAAAGTCATCTTCAGGTTGTGTGTCCATGTAAGATGATGTGTACCCCAGCAGTCCTTTGTGGAGCGAAGACAGATCACAGGGGCACAGCACTACTCCCCAAAGCACTAAGAATTCAGTCGAGCATTAAGAATATCCTGCTAATTGTCACGGAAGGGACAGGATAGCCTTGATACTTCCATGGGCTGTCAAAGACTTTTCACCCTGTAATAATATGTAGCACTTTTAAGGTTTGCAGAATGCTTTACAAACACCTTGTCTTCATAACAACCCTGGGAGGTAGGTGCTATTATCCCTGTTTCATAGATGAGTTAACTGAGACAGAGATTAAGTGACTTGTCCAGAGTGACACAGGGTGGTGGGTATATTGGTAAAACGTTTTAACAACCAGCTCTCCCTCAGAGTGTCCATGACACAGGTTTAATCTGCATTAACATTGTGTCCCATCGCTCAGATCTACACAATCAACAAAAAAGTCAAGTCCTAATTTGTAGCTTTTCATTTCGGAGGTATAAGTGCTAACTGAAAATGCAACAGCTGGCTCCAGCACACCACTGGTCACACAGCTAGTAAATGTCCAAGGCCAGACTTGAGCTCGGGTCCTTCTGACTCCACACCTAACTGCTCTATCCACCGTACCACCCGGCTGCCAGATAGCTTCTCATTTGGAGGATTCTGAAAATCATTTTTGTGACAATATAAACATGGTATAACCAAACTAGCTTACAGGGTGATGACCATAAGGGATGCGATTTCTAGACTGTCTCTCACAACAATCATGCCGTAGTATTTAAAAGTACAACCCTGCAGTGCCTCAGTTTTTCCATCTTTAAAAATGGGACAATTGACGATCCTGTAATCCCAGTACAACAGGTGCTGACATGATTAAGGTGTCAAGATTTGGAGAGTGCTTTCAGCTCGGAGCATTTAGTTTGCTGTGTTTTAATGTATAAAAATAGGACACCCACGCTGGCACTGTTGTTGCTGGGGCAGTTACAGTCCAGAAATTATTATTCCCTGGCTGGCTTTTATGAGTACTACATTTTACTTGAGGTCTTTATTGCTAACTAAACTCCGATTATTACAACATCTCTCAGCTTCCCCTTGTGGCAGGATACTTACAAAAACAACAATTTATAAGTGTTATGTGATAGAATCTAAGTAAAAGAAAAAACTCAGGAAGGTAATAACGCACTTATTACCCTCACGTTCGTCGGCTTCGGTATCTCTCTTTTAATCACTTTGCTCGAATATTTCTTGAGAGCCAATTCTGGTAAAAATTTTAAATTAAAGTACTATTAAAGGCAAATTGCATTAATGTTTAAAAATGAGATGCCCTCGAAAGCTGCAGCTTAGGGAAATAATCAACAAGTTATTAGCTCTGGGTTTTAATAGCATTTTTACATGGAAAGTAACTCAGTGGAAGAACATATTTACAAATGGGTAAAGAGAGTAGTTTAAAAAATCATTTAACTTTTTATGCCTGCCTAGTTAAAAAGGTCAGCCACAATCAAACGGCTAATGTAGCTGCCACCTAACAACCCCTCCGTATGGAAAGGCAGTAATGAGAATATGTTAGTTGGCGCTAGTAACTCGGTTTAAGGGCCAGTTGCTGGAGTCAGGTTTTGCCTACTACAGCGAAAAGCCCTAGTTACGTTCTAATACCAAATTCTTCTGCCCTCCATCAATTATAAATTTCTTATATGAGTGTATCCATTACCGGGCTCACAGACTGGGAGTGAATTGTCTCCCTTGGAGCTCTTCCAGAAGCCATCAGCCCCACACCGATATTTACCTGCAAATCATTGAAAAGGAAAAAAAAAAGCTTAAATTAACTGCATATATAAGATGGTTGTCATTTGTCTGAATACCACCTTGAAGGATGTTGACTCTTGAGCATCAGTGGGAAATAGAGGTGTCTGAATAACCATTTTACATGATTTCATAAACAGGAGGTCTCTGCATTACCATGTTTGCTTGCAAAGTGGAAACCTTTTAGATGCGTCACTTGAATATGTATCAAGATCTCAAGTGCTTAATGATACGGTTTTTGGCTTGTTAAATTAAACCATTTGGAATATATTGTGTGTTTGGAGTAGTCATTTACTGGATAAGATCTGTTTTCGAATTCTAGCAAATTGACATTAAATGTCACTTGAGCAATAATATTTCACTTAGCAATGGGAAAAGTGCCTTTTAATCTTTCTTCTAGCCTTGGCCAAAAATGTTGGTTAAAGTTTATTTTCAGGCCTTCAGTGTACATGTTCTCAATATCGTCCATCCCCAGCGCCGGAGAAGAATCATCTTACCGTCATTCTTCATTTTCATAGTGTAGAAGGGGCCCTTGCAGCTATATTGAATCACAGCTTCATAGGTGGTCAGCTCACCGTCTGTGATGTATGTCACTTGGCCATTGAGTAGATCGTTGGGTGGGCCGCAGTCAACAACTAATAAACATGGGGGACGAGGAAGAAGCAAATGAAGCAGAATACTTTGTATACCCGTGTGAAGATGGTTTAGACACCTATGAGCAACTCATGTGGACATGTAGCAGCATAGGGCCATCCGTCCCCACACAATGTCATTTCCCTGCATGCAGTGGGCATTTCTAATTTCATCTGTGAGGAAAGGAAGGGACTGCTGTAGAGTAACTTCAAAACATCACTTCCATCTTTAAGATGTAATTTGTTTAGTGATTTTTCAGTCATGTCCAGCTCTCCGTGACTCCATCTGGTGTTTTCTTGGCAGAGATACTGGAGTGTTTGCCACTTACCTTCTCCAGGTCATTTTACAGATGAGGAAACTGAGGCAAACAAGGTGAAATGACTTGCCCAGGGTCACACAGCTAGTAAGTGTTTGAAGCCATATTTGAATTCCTGAAAAGTCTTCCTGACTCCAGACCTGGAGTCCACTGCAGCGCCACCTAGCTGTCCTAAGATGTAATAGTGTTGTGGAAAAAAGAACTTAAGAGTCAGAAGATCTGGGTTCAAATTCCAGGTCCAATGCTTAGCTGTGTGATCATGGAAAATTCACCTAACCTCTTTGAGCTTCTGCTGTTGTAAATTAAGAAGGACTTAAAAAAAAGAGCACTTTAAAAAATAAACATAAAAAGCCACAGAAATGTGAGCTGCCATTTCTACACTGAGCAATTGGGCTTTGATGGTGTCTCCTAAAGAAAAGGATGGGTTGCCTTTCACAGAATTTCAGAGTTGGACAGAACCTTGGAGGCCCCATGGCCCTGCCCATTCCTGGAGGGATCCCTGCAACATTCTTTTTTTTTTCTTTTGTAGGCAATGGGGGTTAAGTGACTTGCCCAGGGTCATACAGCTAGCTAATAAGTGAGGGCAGATTTGAACTCAGGTCCTCCTGACTCTCTCCATGGCGCCACCTAACTACCCTCCCTGCAACATTTTTGACCAGTGGAGACCCAGTCCTCACTCAAGGCCTCTGCTGAGAAGGATCCCACTACCTTCCGGGGCAGTCACCTCCACTTTTGGACAGTTCCAATTTCTGGAGCCTTATCTTTTTGCGATTTCTGCCTGTTGATCCTAATTCTGGCGCCTGGGGCGAAGCACAGCCAATCTATTCCTTCTACATGAATGAATGAATAAATAAAAAGTGTTCCTGGAGGGGTTATTATGTATCAAGGGCTGTGCTAAGCACTGGGGACACAGATACAAAATAAAGAGTGAATGGGACCATACAAAAGTAGATTGAGGCACCCATTCCAGGAACAACGGCAGAGTTTAACCATGGGCTCAGTTCAGCCGTTTTTCAGTCGTGTTCCGCTGTCTGTGACCCCATTTGGGGTTTTCTAGGCAAAGATACAGGAGTGGTTTGCCTTTTTTTTCCAGCTCATTTTACAGATGAGTTAACTGAGGCAAACAGGGTTAAGGGACTTGCCCAGATGGTATCTTGAGGCCAGATTTGAACTCAGGTCTTCTCGATTCCAGACCCAGCATTCTATCCACAGAACCTCCACCTGACATGCAGTAGGTGCTCAATAAATGGTTGCTGACCTAATCACACGTGCCTTAACAAAGTCCCTCTCAAAATATGGGCCCCGAAACTGAACACAGTACCCTAGATGTGCTCTGATAGGATAGAACACAGCCGAACAGTCATGTGCCTGGTCCTAACCTTAATCTAACCTAAGAGGATGTCTCACACTGACAATGCACGTTGAGGTTAGCGTGAACTAAAACCTCCCTACCTTTCTCAGATGAACTGTCGGCTAGCTGTGCCTCCCCTGTCTTGTACTTGTGAGGTTGGTGATTTTTGATCCCATGTTGAAGACTTCCTCAATTCCCTTCCTTCCTTTAAAAATCCACAAATCTGTCCTTCTGCAGTTTCCCAGCACATCACCTGCTCTCCACCGTCTCCCAGCGATTGCTGACCATAGCCTGGCAGTCTCATCTACCAATAACCCTCAGTACAGTTCATCAGGGGCAGCTAGGTGGCGCCATAGTGCATGGAGCGCCGGGCTTGTCGTCAGGAAGACTCCTCTTCCTGAGTTCAAATCTGGCCTCAGACACTTCCTAGCTGTGTGACCCTGGGCAAGTCACTTGTTTGCCTCAGTTTTCTCATCTGCAAAATGAGCTGGAGAAGGAAATGACAAACCACTCCTATGCCTTTGCCAAGAAAACCCAAAATGGGTCACAAAGAATCAGACACGGGAAAAATGAGTGAATAGCAACAAACTGGTGATTTGAACCTATGAAATACAGCTAATATTCTCTTACTATCACTTTAAGGATTGTTAGGTAACAACGACGCCCTATTAGGCATTTTTGTCCTGTCCTTTCCATTCTAAAGATAATTCTCCTTAGCAGGTACAAACCAAACCAACCCAGAAACACAATTAGAGTTGGGCATCTCTACTTCATGTCCTTTACTGTCCTCTCATCCATCTCTAACAATAATTCTGTCCCTTCTGACAACCTTCTTTTCCCCAAGATAGCTTTTTTAAAATTTTTGGCTAGGCAATGGGGTTAAGTGACTTGCAATCTGTCAGAAAGGTGGAACCTGGGACAGCTAGTAAATGTTATGTGTCTGCGGCTGGACTTGAACTCAGGGCCTCCTGAACTCTAGGGCCGGTGCTCTATCCACTGCACCACCTAGCTATCCCTTCCTGAGATAGCTTTTTAAAAAATCCTTCTTGTTCTTAGCTTTCCTTACCAGCCTCAGCTCCTTCTGAGTTCAAGTGCTCCCAACATGATTCTCAGAGCTATGCCCTCCTTACCTGCCCTTGCTTCACCATCTACAAATGCCTTTTAAAAGTCCAGCTTCTCCAATGAGCTCCCCGTGCATGCACATCCATCCCTTTAGACAAGTCCCTTTCATTTCCTCACTGAAATGTAACTCCCCATCTCTCCTGGACTGACATTTCCCATACAATTTTTAATCTATGAGGTTCTCTCTATCCTTTCTCTGAATCAACTTCCTCTATGAACTTTCATCCATAAAATCCTCCTTTTCCTTTTCCTTCCTAAGGAGAGGGAATTTCAAAGGACTTCTAGAGTCCCCCAGCTATCTTATTCCAGCGCTGGGAGGGGATAGGAGAAGCCATAGAGATATAAGGTGGAGAAAATTGGATACGGTCTACCTGGCTCCAAGGATAATGTTCAATTTATAACTTGGCGAAACATTAGAACAGAAAGGACCTTGAAAAAACTACATAGGAAAAGGGCTAGATGACCTCCAAGTTCTTTCCCATCATTAGGGTTTTTTTTTTTTGATGAAGAGAATATAAAAACTTCCACCTGGACAACAGGATGGCTCTGTGCCCAGAGGTATCACTTTGAGATCTGGGAATGGTCAGACAAGGAAACACTTCAGGGGCTGGGCTGCACCATAAAACATGGAGATTTTTGATTTTACAGCTCCAAGTATTAAGATATGTTAGTGGTTCTCTGTTCTGCCCCTCTCTAACGCACATATCATTGTGTGCTGGATTTATCTGTGTTTCCATTTTATCCTAACCTTGTTGGACTGATGCTCCATGAGAACAGGGACCATGTTGTAGCTAAACTTTGTTTCTCCTTCAGCATCGTACTCTGCACAATGGATGCTTAATACATATTTGCTGAATAAATGAATGAATGGTATGGAATGACAGCTGCAGCTACACATGACTAATTCAATTCAACTCAAGAAGTGTTTTCTTAAAGCACCTACTAGGTGCCAGGCACTATACTAGGTAGCAGGCATGCAAAGACAACCAAAAAAAGGTTATAATCCCTGCCTCAAGACAAATATTTGGCAAGAGATGGGGTGGGAAAGGGGGAAGGGGAGACAGAGAGACAGGGAAAAGGAAGCAGAGATAGAGGGACAAATGGGAGGGAGAGGAAGGAGACACAGAGAGAGAGAGAGAAAGATGGAGATGGAGAGAGAAACAGAGAGAGGAGAAAGGGAGAGGAAGAAAGAGAAACAAAGAGAAAGACAGAAAAACAGAGACAGGGGCAGGTAGGTGGTGTAATAGATAGAGCACCGGTTCTGGAGTCATAAGTACCTGAGTTCAAATTTGGCCTCAGACACTTGACACTAGCTATATGACTGTGGGCAAGTCACTTAACCCTGATTGTCTCACAAAAAAAAAAAGAAAGAAAGACAGAGACAGACAGAGGGAGGGGAGAGAGAGAGAGAGAGAGAGAGAGAAAGAGAGAGAGAGAGAGAGAGAGAGAGAGAGAGAGAGAGGAGAGAGAGAGAGAGAGAAACAGAGAAATAGAACAACAGAAACAGAGAAGAAGGAAGGGAGGGAGGAGAGTAAAAGAAAGCAGGTGGCGGAGGGAGAGAATGAGAGCCTTGAGAAACACAGAGACAGAAATATAAAATTAGTGCAAAATAATACAGGGTTCTGAGGGGCACTAACTATTAGGGAAAGCCTCTTAAAGGAAGTTAATCAGATCCAGAAGGCAAGCCATGCTTAAGGCAGATGCTAAATAACTATTTAGTGTATCTGAAATATGGTCATTTAAACATTGTATTTCAGTTGTTTCCAATGAACTTACTAATGGGAACTTATATACATACATACATATATATGTGTGTATATGTGTGTATATGTGTGTGTATACATATACATATACATACATATATATATATATATATATATATATATATATATATATATATATAGAGAGAGAGAGAGAGAGAGAGAGAGAGAGAGAGAGTTTTGCATTAAATAAAAGCATAAATAAGGATATGGTCAGGGGCTTCTTTGTAATCCAGGATTCTGGAGCATTCAGATTTTTGGTCAATATTGCTATTTTCTGGTATCAAAATAAGTGAAGAAAGAGTGATTTACAAGTAGGTGACTTCGTGGAACTCAAATGTCCCTTCTGTAGGGTAGGGGCTTGTTTTTATACTCTGTTTTCTAGTTTGCTTTATCAGGGGTAAAAGAATCACTGTCGACCCCACTGTCAGCATCGGCCTCTTACTGCTGCATTCTGGCATTGCTTGGTCCCAGGTTCCACCTTTCTGACAGACTGCAGTAAAAGACTCCAAAATCCTTTCATCCTGATGAGGAATAGAGAAAATAAAACCATTTATGCATTGGTGCCCTAAAAGTTTTCCAATGTAGTGACATCACAAAGATGGCAATGTGACACTGTGACTTTCATTACTGTTGTTTCCCATTCTGCTCCCAACACTCCTCCCTGTCAGCCTCCTCAGTCTGGAGATACTTCCACTCCTGGGACTCCCCTCCTACTGGGGAGTCCCTGCCTGGAACCTTCTTTTGAGGAATTACTCAGGCTTGTTTCTCTCCCAGCTCCACTCCTAATTCTGTACTTTTATATTGTTCCTTCTCGTAGGTAGCATCCTCCTTCTGTTCTTCAGCTCTCTTATATACTGTCTCCCCCATTAGAGTGTAAGTTCCTTGAGGTCAGGCGCTCTCTCTTTGGTTATATTTGTATTCCCAGCACTTAGCACAGTGCCTGCCACATAGTAAGTGTTTAATAAATGCTTTCTATCTACCTCTCTGTTTGTCTGTCTGTCTTTGTCTATCCATCCATTTATTTGTTGGTCCATCTGTCTGTCCATCTATCATCTATCTATCTATCTATCTATCTATCTATCTATCTATCTATCTATCTATCTATCTATCTACCTGTCTGTCTGTCTGTCTGTCCGTCTGTCTGTCTGTCTATTCATCCATCTATTTGTTGGTCCATCTGTTTTTCTGTCTGTCTATCTATCTATCTATCTATCCACCTATCTATCTATCCTATCTACTCTGCATATCTATCCATCTATCTATTTATCTGTCTGTCCATCACTTCCTGCATCTATCTATCTAATCTGTTTTTCCATCTATTTGTTAGTCCATTTGTCTGTCTATCTACCAGTCTATTGGTGTGTGTATCTATCTATCTATCCATCTATCTGTCTGTCTGTCTGTATGTATGTCTGTCTATTCATCCATCTATTTGTTGGTCCATCTGTTTTTCTGTCTATCTATATATCTATCTACCTACCCATCTATCCTATCTACTCTATGTATCTACCTATCTATCCTATCTGTTCTGTGTATCTATATCTATCATCTATCTATCCACCTGTCTGTCTATCTATCTATCCTATCTACTCTACATATCTATCCATCTATCTATTTATCTGTCTGTCCATCACTTCCTGCATCTATCTATCTAATCTGTTTTTCCATCTATTTGTTAGTCCATTTGTCTGTCTATCTACCAATCTATTGGTGTGTGTATCTATTATCTATCTATCTATCTATCTATCTATCTATCTATCTATCTATCTATCTATCATCTTTCTGTGTTCTAAGCTGTGTCTGGGTATTTGTATGCCAGGGTGGGGGGAGTTATTTATTGCTTGGGAGAAGGAGGATCTGTGACTTTATCAGTATATGGAATTGCCTGAGATTCTCAGAGGGGAGTCACATAGTCAGTTAATGTCAGAGAAAGGACTAGAACCCAGGACTTCCTGACTCTAAGCCCAGCACTGGATTCACTGTGTAATGCAGCTTCAGTAGCTATGCTATTATTAAGACACTATATACTTATATATGATGTAGAGATCATATGGCAGAGCAGACAGAGGGTCCACCTTGAACTCAGGAAGAGCCAGCTCCAAGTTCCACCTCTGAGAAGTATTAATTGCATGATGATTGTTGTTGTTCAATCATTTTCAGTCATGTTGGACTCTCCAAGACCCCATTTGGGCTTTTCTTGGCAAAAATACTAGAGGGGTTTGCTGTTTCCTTCTCCAGCTCATTTGACAGATGAAGAACTGAGGCATACAGGGTGAAGTGACTTGCCCAGGGTCACACAGCTAGTAAGTGTCTGAGGCCAGATAGCTGTTCATTTAACCTTTCAGTTCAGGAAGAGAAGGATGAGAAAGGGGGAAGAGGAGGAAGAGGGAGAGGAAAAGTAGGAGGAGAAGGAAAAGAGGGAGGGAGTGGAGGGACTGGAAAAGTTATATCTTCCTTGGAAGAGAAGTGATGTCGCAGTGGGTAGAGCTCTGGGATTGGATACTAGAAGATCTCAGCTCAAACCTGCCTCAGATATTTATTAGCTGTGCAACTCTAGGAAAATCACTCAACTTCTCTGGACTCACAGGCCTCTAAGGTTTTTTTCTGGCCCTGAATCTACGTATGATTCAGTGTCTATGGGTTCAGAGCAAGGCGTAAGTTGTCAGATGTGTTCAACATGTTGGCCTGCTTTGCTTCCCTGGCGTTCCCTGGGTTCCATGGCATGTATGTGTGTGTGTGTGTGTGTGTGTGTGTGTGTGTGTGTGTGTGTGTGTGTGATATAACAAAAGAAGTTACCAATAAAATATTTATTAAAATAACAAAGAGCCCTAGCTTGGGCATCCAAGAATCTTGGTGTCTCTGCTATTCAGTAACTCTAGGAATGGGCAAGTCACCCAACCCATCTGGGCCTCAGCTTTGGTAAAATGAGGAGGGCATGAGAGAGAGTCTTTAAAATTCTTTCCTGTTCTGTCATTCTAAGTGATCCTGAAGTTTCCCCCCACTGGAGGGGGGAGGAAAAAAAGCAAAAACCAAAATCTTGCAACAGTCAAGGAGACATGTTGGACAGAGAGGCCTCCTTGTGACTCAGAGGATCATGGGATGGGCTTCCTGGAAATGCAGGTGTTTAAGCATCAGTGTGGTCCAAGGCATTGTGGGAAAGGGGAACTCGAAGTTTTGCTAAGGTGAGAAAAGTGTCTCACCTCTCTTGTCCCTCTGCAGGACTATGGATTGCCTCGCTGTCGTTTTAGGGTTATTACTTTTTACTACAGGGACTTAGTGACAATTTTGAAGAACATAAAGAGGACATGTTAATCTCCTACCTGGGCCACTCAAGCAACTTGCTAAGCATTTTTTAAAATTATACTACCTCTCCCTGACCAGTGATCACTATTTATAACTTTGCAGAATATACGAATTCCTGTTGGCATCTCATTTTTTGTGCGTGGGGGCCCAGGAGCTGTTGCAGAGAAAGGTCATCTTTGGGCCAGGGGGACTGCCTGCCTCCGTTTTAATACAGAGGCGTTTCACTGATGAGAGTGAACCTGGACAGGTAACTCATCTGCCTGTCTTCCCTTTGATCTCAGCCTTTATGCACACATTGGGTCCTAAAGATGGGGGCCAACAAAGAGAGAAACGATATCTTTTTATCCCAAACGTTCTATCCTCCCCTCAAAAAAGGGGAGCAGAAATATCAGGAGTCAGGACTTCACTTGGTCTCCCAGAACTTACTTTGGAAAGGACGTATCCCGTCTCACAAAAGAGAGAGAAGCGTTCCGTCATGATGTATTTCGGTTGCACTGGCGCAATGAGGCCATGAGGTGGCGATATTGGATTAGGGCATGGCTGGGCTAAGCAGGGATGGAGAAGAAATGTTACACGAATAAATTCTTGGTCTTAGAAGAAATGATGTCTCAATATAGACCCCATTTTTTTCCTCCCCCAAATCTGGTGAAAGTGAATGGCTAAATGGATGAAAAAGCATTTATTAAGCACATACCACATGCCAAGCACTGTGCTGAACGCTGGGGATACAAATAGAAAAGACAGGCCCTGTCCTCAGGGAGTTTACATTCTATACATTAAATAATGTATAGATGTAGGGCAAATCGAAAGGCCCCAAAGTCCTAAGGGTGCAGTACAGGGACCGATGGCAAAGTCTAGGGGTTCTCAGGTTACATCAGTAAGTCAAATATGTAAGACATGGAGGCAGGGTAGGGGGAAGGCATGGTGAGCCATCCGTCTCACAGGAAGAAATGTGGGTGTTGAGTCTGGACTTATCCCCCCCCCATGTGAGAGTCAAGCAGCCTGGATAAGTCTTGGGTAGATGGGACCAGTAGAGTGAGTGAAGGAGGAAAGGACGGTGGTGAATCAAAGACTGGATTGTCTTAGAATCAGAGAATCTCAGATTTGGGAGAGACCTCAGAAATTTATTAGCCTTGTCTCTGTCTTGGTGGTCATCTAGCTTCTGTTCCTCCACCTGATTCTCACACGGCACGAGCCCAAAGTCCCCTCAGCATCCTGGCTGCCTTCCTCTGGCTGTTCTCTACCTTGTCATCTCCCTTCCTAAACTGGGGCACCCAAAAATGAAGACATTATTCCAGGGCAGGTTGAAACAGGATGGTCAGCTCCTTAGTCCTGGACTAAGGCTGCCTAAGCTTTCTTAGAAGCCTAATATCACGCTATTGCATCATACTGAGCTTGCTGTCCGCTAAAAACCCCAGACCGTTTTCAGATGAAGTGCCTCCCTCATCTTGACCTTTATACTCAACTCCTTACTCTATGTACCAACCAGTCACTAAATCTTGCCGTTTCTATGACTTCACAATATGGCTCCCATCTGACTCCTTCCTTCTACTCACACAGCTGCCATCTTGCATCTGTCCTCGGTCTCTCCTCTCATCTACTTTACTGCAGCAGCCTCCTAAATGCTCTCCCTGCTTCCTGCCTCTCTCCACTCCTCCTCCACATCCTCCATACAGCTGCCAAAGCACAGATCTGTCCATATCACTCCCTCTCTCAACTCCAATGTCTGCTCCAATGGCCTCTATGATAAAATATAAATTTCTCTGTTTAGTTCTAAAGTCTTAAGCAACTTGGCCCCTCTCTTTCCAGCTTCACTGGATACTATTCCCCCCTTACACTCTGCAATACAGCCATACTGGTCTTATTTCTCTTCCTCACCACACGCCATCTACCACCTCCAAGCCTTTGCCTTGGCTGCCCCCCATGCCTGGAATGCCCTTCTTCCTCACCTGCACCTTGCAGAATCCTTTACTTCATGCAAGTTCCAGTCCAAGCACCATCTTCTGCACAAAGCTCTTCCTGATTCCACCAGCTGCTAATGCCCTCCCTCCTTTTCAAACCACGTTGTATTGAACTAATTTGGAGATATTAGTGATTTCTCACTTTACATTTTCTATGTAATTGTTATCTCTTCCATTAGGAGGTAAACTCTTCGAAAGAATTGTTTCATTCTATGTATTTGTATCCCTAGAGCCTAATAACAGTTGGTTATCTCTCTTTCTCAAAGAGGACCAAAATGACCACCATGTTGGAATCAAGGTAATGTGTGTCCAGCTATGGCTGCCCAGACCAATACAAGCTTGGAAGGCTCTGCCACAAACAGTCTGCATGGGCATTTGGAGTGGAGATGTTTCTAATAATACACACTTAACTACTTGTTCATTGATGGATGATTTGAAAGGCAGATTTCAGCTTAACATAAAGAAAAGATGTCCAAAAGTAGAATACACCGCCTTGGGAGATGGCAAGTTCCCATCTTTGCATCTCTTCAAATAGAGGCTGGGTGACCATTTATAGGGTACATGGTACAGTGGATTCTTACTAATAAATACCTGAAGGTTTAGGTTGGGCTAGTCAGCCTCGGAGGTCCTTCCAACTCTGACATTTTGTAATTCAGAAATTTCCCTTGTAGGGGCAGCTAGGTGGTGCAGTAGATAGAGCTCCGGCCTTGGAGTCAGGAGGACCTGGGTTCAAATCCAGCCTCAGACACTTGACACTTACTAGCTGGTGACCCTGGGCAAGTCACTTAACCTCAATTGCCTCACCAAAAAAAAAAAATTCCTTGTAGGGGAATATTCAAGGTGACTCATATTAACATAAACACATTTCATAGAATCATAACTACAGTACTGAAAGGGATTTCAGAAGCCATCTAGCCCACACACCCCCCATTTTACAGATGAGAAAACTGAGGCTAATGGAGGTTAAAGGTCTTCTCCAAGATCCAAGTCAGAATTTGAACCCAGATCCAGTACCTTTCCCACTCTACCATACTACTGCATGCTTGCTTATCAACTGAATCCTACTCAGAAGTTGTAGTGGGGAATCTTGGCCAGCTTTGCATCTAATAAGTTCTTAATGAATGCTTTTTCATTCATTCGAACGTTTGTTTGTTCCTTTGTTTACTCAGGTAGCTGCCCTTTGAGGATCTTTCCAACACTAAGATATTGAGATTCTGTAACTCAGGAGTTAGAAGGAATTTGAGAGATTATCTCATCTCATCCAAAGTCTCAGTCATTAAATCCATATATCTTATTTTACAGAAGGTGAAAAGTAGGGATGACTAAATAAGAATTAAGCATCTTTTGCTGACTAGGAATTAAAAAATCTCCAAGCCTGTGCTTGGTGTGCAAGGTAGGTTTTGTCATGGCTTTTGGAGTACTGGCCACATGATCCAAGAACGGCTAAGTCTGTACTGACAGAAGGTGAATTTGAGAGGCCTGGACCATTCCTAACAAAATCACCAAAGCAATTTTCCTTAAACCCAGATCTGACTGCATCACTCCCTGCTTAATCAGCTCCCCACATGAGACCCAGTAAGGTTTTACAGGGGTTTTTTTGCTCATTTGTTTTTTTGTTTTTACAGAATCCTTCTCCAGGGCCTAACCTAGGGAATTACCAGGCCAGCCAGGAAAGAGGCGTTGCCTAAAACTTAGAAACCTAGACTCTCAGAGCTGGACGGGACCTCAGAAGTCATCTGAGAAGCAGATTGGTGTGATGATTAGAGCCTAGGACTAAGGCAAATCTGCACGTGGGTTTGGATTTCTCCCTGGATTAGCCTTCATGAACTTTCTGCTTGGTAATTACCTGGATAAATTTACTCCAGAGAAGAAGCATTGCCTTGGAGTCAGGAAGACCTGGCTGTGTGACACTGGGCATAACCCTTCACCTTCTCAGTGTTCCCAGGGAACCCTGTAAATGACCAGAAGGGTGCTGACTTCCATTAGCAAAGGGCATATCCTCACTGAGAGTTCCCTATATGGAGGAAATCCCCATCCCCATACCTCTCCATTCCAGTCAAATTGGCCCACTGACTCTTCCCCAAATAAGACACCTGACTGTCTCCCACTCCTAGAAAGCTCTCTCTGCTCACCTCCATCTCTTAAAATCAATGCCCAGCAGCTAGGTGGCACAGTGAATAGAGCTCTGGCCTTGGAGTCAGGAGGACCTGAGTTCAAATCCAGCCTCAGACACTTAACATTTACTAGCTGTGTGTGATCCTGGGCAAGTCACTTAACCCCGATTGCCTAAGCAAAAAAAAAAAAAAATCAATGCCCGGCTTCCTTCAAAGCACATCTCGGGGGCGGCCAGAGGCCTTTCCCTGGTTTTCCACTCATTAGAGCTCCCTTCCTCCATCTTGAAATCACTTTATTTTTACTTATCTGTGTACCTGCTATCTCCCCCCTCACCCAGTAGAATGTAAGCTACTTGAAAGCAGGGATTGTTCCTTTTTGTCTCTGGACCTGAAGTCAGGAAGACCTTAATTCAAATCCTACCTTTCATACTTACTAGCTGTGTGGCCCTGGACAAGTCACTTAACCTCTGTCTACCTCCGTTTCTTAAACTATAAAATGAGGATAGTAATAACACTTAGCTCCCAGGATTGTTATGAGGCCCAAATGAGGTAAGATTGGTTCAGGATGCCTGGCACATGGTAGATGCTATATAAATGCTTATTCCTTCCCCTTCCTTCTTTGCATTCTTGGCACCTCCCAATGTTTGTTGAACTGAAATGAAAACTGGCATTAGATTAACGTGTCTTTCATCCAGGACTATTTTCAGGAATTTCCCGTTCAAGGGGTCTTTTTTTTTAATTTGTAAAGGAATTTTCCATTAAAGTATAAATCTCCAAGCCAGAGATTCTTAACCCCTGGAGTCCACAGACCTTCAAGGGATCATCCATTGACAGGTTTCAGTGTGATCACTGGACTTGGATGGGGGAAAAATTATATCTTTATTTTTACTGACCTCTAACTGAAAAATGGGGCAGCTAGGTGGTAAAGTGGAAAGAGCACTATGCCTAGAATCAGGAAGACCTGCCTCAGATACGTAATAGCTGTGTGACCCTGGGCAAGTCACTTCACCCTATTTGCCTCAGTTTTCTCATCTGTAAAATGAGCTGGAGAAAGAAATGGCAAATCACTCTGGTATCTTCACCAAGAAAACCCCACATGGGGTCACAGAGAGTCTGGAATAATTGAACAACAACAAAAAACCCACAAAACTTTAGTATTCCCTTCAATAATGAATATTGGCAGCAAACTGTTTTCTGAAAAAGGGTCCATATGCTTTACCCAAAGTGCCAGAGGGGTCTACAACACACAAAAAAGTAAGAGCCCCTGCCTTAAACCTTAGCCCAAAGAAATTAATTTCTCTTAATGACATTTCAAGTACTGGAGGATGTGTTTGGAGTGAAAGAGGGGAGAGCCTGGTCCTCCACACTGGATATGAGACCACTTACATCATTACCCAGGTCAGAGGAAGCAGCCTTGGCCTTGACTCCAGTGATCTTTACTGTGATTGGCCAAATTTGTCCATTGATCTGGAGGGGATTTCAAAAATCATCTCCAACCTCCTCATTTTACAGATGAGGAAACTGAGGCTCAGGGCTTGTCTTGTCACACAGGCAGTAAGTGTCAGAGGCAGGATTTGAATCCAGATCCTCTGGTTTCAGAGTCAGTAACCTTGCCACTCTGCTAAAGGAAGCACTGTCTCCGCTCCAATAACACGACCTCCCCCCCCTCTCCCAACAAACTCCCCAACCCCGCTGAAGGCTGGAGTGCCAGAGACTTTTAATGAGGTCCAGAGACTCCTACCTGTGCCCCCGGTATCGGATCTTCCAGCCAGTGTGGTCTCCCGAGGCATCCGTGATGAAGATGATAGTTACAGTGTGGCTTCTGGTGTTAATCTGGGGGGGCGAGGTCTGTCCGCAGAATGGCCCGTATTCCTCCTTGTCTGTTTTAATCTGAAAGAGCAAAGTCACACAAAGTTGTAGGCACATCTCTATGGACAAAATAGAAGTGTGGGGCGGGGGTGGGGGTGGGGGAATCCCAAGGAAGTGATGAGGAGGACTGTACTGAAAGCAAAAGAGAAAAATAGAAGTGAAGATTCAGAGGCAGCAGTGACCATGGGGATAGTGATGACAGCACGGGAAGAAACTGACGTGAGCAGAGTGTATTCTGGACAGCCCAACCATCACAGCTACAGTTGTCTCAGATGGTCTGTGCCCCGATGGAGAACGACCAACCCAGGAACCGTTGAAGGGAAATGTTATCAGGATGGATCGGGGCCACTGCTTCAGGCTGGGCGCCCAGGTTCTGGGGAAGCCAGCCAGGGGTAATGGCTATCATCTGGGCCCTGATGATTTCGAAGTCAATTGTCCTGTGCTGTTTTCTAACACAAGCAGAAACTTTAAGCTGGAACAATACCTGTCCAAGTGAACAGCGTCCTATAGTGCGGAGGGCACTGGCCAGAACTCTGAATGGAAAGACCTTAGGACTGGCACTGCCCTTCTCCAAGACTCAGCTTTCTCCTACGTAAAATAAATTGGTCTCTAAAGTGCCCTCTGAGCTCTAACGGACTGTGTTCTAATGTTCCACGTTCTCAACTTCCTCCAGCGCTGACATTCCATGTTCTAAGGCCCCTTCCACCTGTAATATTCCATGTTCTATGTTCTAAGGTCTTTTCCAGCTTTGACATTCAGTGTCCTAATATTTTATGGTCTAATAATATCTCCACTAGCTCCGACATTTTATATTCTAGATCCCTCCTGGCTTTCACATTCTATGTTCTAATATTTCATAACATTCTATATTCTGACATTCCATAGTCTGTATTTCTGATGTTCTATATCTCTATTTCTGACATTCTATTTCTGATTTCTCCACTAACTCTGACATCTATATTCTAAGACCTCTCCCAACTCTGACATTCTGTGTTCTAAGACCCCTCTCAGCTCTGATAGCCTATGTTCTAAGTGCCTTCCCAGCCCTGATATCTTGTGTTCTAAGGCCTCTCCCAGCTCTGACATCCTGTGTTCTAAGTGCCCTCCCAGCTCTGACATTCTATGTTCTAAGGTTCCTTATGCTTCTAAAATTCCGTGGTGAAGGAGCTAACATGTCACCTCCATTATTTATTGGTGCCATCAATGTACATCTGAGAGGTGAAGGCAGTGATACACTGAAGGAAAGACTTCATAATGCCAGAATTCCCAGCCATATGACACCTGGGAAGGGGTAAAGATCTGGGAGCAGAACAGGACCGCCTTAGGGAAACTCGAGTCTTGCAACTAGGTGACTGTCTTACTTAAGGGCAGTTGTTGACAGAGGATGCCCAATCTAGAGAAGGCCAGTCTCAGTTCTGCACAGCCACCTCAAGGAGGCTTGGCAACTTGTCTGAGGCTGAAAAGGCAGGAGAACTTTAGAGATCAATTCTGTGAAAGGAAATGGGTGCTGGGTGTATAGCAGTAACATTGGCCAGAAGCATCAAGCTCCCATCTGGATGTTCATTGGAAGGTAGCTCAGGAAGCTAATCCAGGAGCAGGAAACAAAATGGTGGGATGGAGGGTGGGTGCTGCTGATCTAAACCAATGAGCTAGGTTTTAGGGGAACATCCCAGGCAACCCACCTTCAGGATGTCATAGGGACACAGGGTGTCTGGGTGAGTTTCCACATCAAAGGAACCCTCAAATTCCAGGATGACACTGAATCCGTCTTCCAACTGGATGCTATAGCTGCAGCTGGAGAGTTTGGGGTAGGCCTGGGGGTAGTCGGGGCTCATAATCACTCCAGAACTTTCGGTGAAGACCTGGTCTGAGCACTGGGCTAGCAAGAGAACAGGACAAGAGCTGGAATGATAATTTAACTCCTCCAACCATTCCCTCACTCCTCTCACCATAGAAATCACCTTCAATCCCTTGCATCTGACCACCTTCCCCAGCTCCAAATGCAGAACTGGAACATCCCCTAATTGTTAGTGACTTCGGCTCACAGCTAGCTCCATTCTGACTCCGGAGGGCAAGGCTGGGAAGCTGGGCCCCAGTGACCAAAGGGGTCCCCAAGTCGGGCCCGTGGGTCTTCTTCCATGGGTCTCCAGAGAGCCTAGAACTGACTGAGATGTCTCCCAGGAATGTTGGCGGCTCCCCAGAGTAACTCAGCAGGTTTGTCCAGAGAAGCTGGGGAATCCCCAGTTCAACGTGGTGCTTGTCAGGTGGGCCATAGAGGGGATTCCTCCTAGGTTAGAGTCAGGATTCTGACTCCAAAGTCTTCTCCACTTTGCCCCACCTGCCTCCGTGCTCAGCATAATAGACTGACTTTCTAGAAGGTTCCTTATTTCCTTGGATGATACATTCTGGCTGAAAAAACTAAGCTTTCTTACACAACACCCTGAGCTCCACTGTCTCGAACTTGGTTCCACGTCACCACAATCATCCTGTCTTCTGCTACCTTCTGAGAACCCCAGGACACCTCTCATCGTCCACCTCTGGGGAGACTGTCCCCCTTTCCTGGGCTGCAGAAGGGGGATGTTGGAGCTCATCATGTCATAGATGTCGAGCGAGAAGGGACCTTCGGGATCATCTAATCCAAGCCAGGGAGGAGTGTCTATCAGAGGCAGGATTGGAACCCAGGTCCTCTGATTCTAAATAATGATGAGTTGACATTTCTACAGCACTATCAAGTAATTAATAGCAATGAAAAGTAATTAATATATCTTATCTCATTTGAGCCCTACAATAGCCACGAGTCATATGACTGGCGGTATTATTATCCCCATTTTGAAAATGAGGAAACCAAGACATGTAGCTGAAGTGACTTTCCCATGGTCATGTAACTAGTGTCTGAGGCAGGAATGAACTCTCTGACTCTTGGGACCATAGATTTAGGGCTAGAAGGGACTTTAGAGGCCACAGAGTCCAACTCCTTTATTTTACATTTGAGGAAACTGAGGCATAGAGCCTCAGTTAAGTGACTTTGCCCAGGGTCATACAGCTAGTGTCTGAGGCAGGATTTGAACCCAGAGCCTTCCTATTTGCCTGGCCTCCATACACTGTGCATGTTACACTTTCTGCCAAGTGGGGGAGAGAGAGATGCTTTTAAATCATGGGTTAGAAAGAAAGTCTCTTTGTCTCTCTGTCTCTTTCTCTTTCTATGCCTATGTCGCTCTCACAGAGCATTCAGACTTTCAGTTATTCAATCTAATGATCTCAAGAGACTTGAGTTGGGGCAGGAGGTAGGCCCAGGCCTTTGCAGGGAAAGAAGGGAGCGGAGGCAGGACAGATCTGGAGGCCAGCTCCCTGGGCGCCCACTAGGCTCTGTTGGGTGGGACAGTGATGCTCCTTGGCTCCATCCCCAGAGCAGGATTACTCTGGACACCCTGTAGAGATCACAGGCTCGTGGGTGGAGAGCCAGAAGGGACTTTCCGCAGGCGTCATTGTGTCCAAAGCCCAGACTGGTGCAGGGACGTGCCCAGATGGCTTGCCACAGTCTAGGCGAATCTCTGAGCCAGAATTGGAATCCAGGACCTCTGACTCCAACCTTTCTTTCCACTGGACTGTGTAGACCCCAGCGACCTGAGAGCACACGTCTGGGAAGTGATTCGGGGCCCCCACCCACCCAGCAGTTAGCATTCCTGCAGTAAGTGAGCTGGGGACAAAATCTCATTGAATTCTCCTGCTAACTAACTCGTTGCAGAGACTGAAGGATCTGAGCAGTGGAGGCTGGGAGGGGGGGTCTGCTGAGGCCCAGCCACGGAGGCGGCAGCTGCCGAGCCTTCCCAGGCAGGCCACGGGAGGAGAGAAGCAGCCCTGCTTGGGCCGGGGACCTGAAATCTTGGGGACTAAGAACCAAATGGTGCCTCAGGGAGAGTGGGGGGCCAGGTCACAGAAAGCAAGAGTCGCCTCAATAGCAGATGGCCGTGGGGCAGCTGGCCTGAGATGGTCTTTGCATGACGACCTAGAGTCTTGCAAGAAATTTTTCCCCTGAGCAAGGTTGGGTGAAGTCCTGAAATCCAAGCCCAGCTCTGCTGCTAACTTGCTGTGTGACTTTGGAAAAGTCACTTCTCATCACTTGCCTCAGTTTCCTCATATATGAAATGAGAAGACTCAATACAGCCCCTCCCAATTCTGACCTTCTGTGTTCTAAGGTCCCTCCCAGCTCTGATGTTCCCTGTTTCAAGGTCCCTCCCAACTCTGACATTCCCTGTCCTCAGGGCCCTCCCAACTCTGACAATTCTGTATTTTAAGGTCCCTCCCAGCTCTGACATTCCCAGTCCTAAGGGCCCTCCCAGCTCTGACATTCTGTATTCTAAGGGCCCTCCCAGCCCTGACATTCCCTGTTCTAAGGGCCCTCTCAGCTCTGACGTTCCCTGTTCCAAGGGCCCTCCCAGCCCTGACATTCCCTGTTCTAAGGGCCCTCCCAGCCCTGACATCCCCTGTTCCAAGGTCCCTCCCAGCTCTGACGTTCCCTGTTCCAAGGTCCCTCACAGCCCTGACATTCCCTGATTCTGGGAAAAGGGAGAAAGAAGAGGAGAAAACAGCTGATGCCTCATACCCTTGCTTAGCCTCAGATCAGTAGCCACTAGGCACTTCCCCTGCAGTAAGGGCTGGCCTCCAAGACCATGGCATTGCTTCCCAGCCTGGCCCTCTGGGTCCCTGGCCTGCCCTCCCCCACAAAGACACGCCTGGAGGCAGCCACTGGCCAGCACCGGGAGAAAGCCAGGTTTATTGTCCGTGTGGTGGGCAGCAGAAAGCTGCCTCCAGGCACTGATGTTTCATCCAGCAGGGCCCATGCCCAGCCCTGGCCCCAGGACCCTCGCTGGCTTTCCTGGCTAAGGGGGCGTTAATTATCTTGTGCTGGAAAATAAAGATAGGAGAGAAATGATATCAGAGGCTACCCTAAAGAGCGAGGCTTTCCGCTCTCACCCTGCGACAAGGGTGGGGAGTGGGGGCTGAGGGGGAGGGAAGCCAGGGAGATTGTCCAAGGAGACAGACGCAGGAGAGCAGAAAACGGCCTGGTTTGGTCCAATAATAGTAACAATAATAGGAGTATTTCTTATAAAGGCTGCAGGGATTCCATCAGACCAGGATCAGCCCCACAGAGCCAAGATCTGCACCCCAGGCTTGGCCACCAGCGGGTGCTCACATGTTTGAATTCCCCTGGAAGAGGCTGGGGTCAGGGATCATGAACGAGGAGGGAGCCAGACATCGGAGGGCCACAGGGAATAGAAGTTAGAGCGGGTGGGAGGCAAGGAAAGGTGGAAGAAAAGGGAAGGAGGTAAAAACCCAAGCTGTCCGATTATGAGGTCATGGGCCTAGAGCTGGGAAGGACCTTGGAGGCCTTCTCATTTTACAGAGAAGGAAACTGAGGTTTAGAGAAGTGACGTGATTTGCCTAAGGTCGTATGGGTAGTAAACATCAGGGGTGCTCTTGCCACAGTAGCATCTTTGTGTCAGCCTTTTCCCAACCCTTCCCACACCCCCAGGGTCATGCCCAGCGCTGGGGGAAGCTTCTCGGAGGGATCGGGTCGCCCTTAGCTCGGGGAGGAGGGAATGCGTCCTCATTAACCCAAGAGTCCCGGTCCTGGCTGGCAGCCTGGATGTGGAGAAGGGCGGGCGTTGAGCCTCCCGCAGTGTTCAGGAAAGGCAGGAAGGCGAGGGTGGGGGAGAGCAGGGAAGGTGGGGGGCAGGCAGGATGGAGCAGCCTCTCACCTGAGCAGGTGTGCTTGTCTTTGTGGAGTTTGAAGCCTGCTCGGCAGGAGCAGTAGAAGCCGCCCAGATAATTGTGGCAGTAGTGGTCACAGATGGGGTCTGCTCCAGGTGGCACCTGGCACTCATCAATGTCTGCGGGAGAGAGGGACAGGTGGTGACGCATCACATTTCCAGCCCCCCAGGGCCAGGAAGAGAGTTAGGCCAGGCTTGCTGTAGCAGAGAAGGAAGGAGGGGCCCGCATTCCCAAGCGGGAAAGAATTCTTATTAGTCAAGCTGTCCACTGATTCAACTGATTACCCAGTGTGTTCTTAGATCTTGCTGGGAACTTTAGCTGGTAATTTCCTCTCTTGGCCTCAGTTTCCTCATCTGTAAAATGGGGATGGGTGTTGGAGTAGACATTCTCTAAGGTCCCTTTCAGCTCTAAGGTCCTATGTTTGGCCCTAGCTCTTTGGGAAATAGGCAAAGAGGGGAGCTGGTTGGCATGAACTCAGCTTCTCATTTGGGGAAAGTGAGGCACAGGATGTGTGTGGGCAGGCAGGTTAGATCCTGTGCTGAGGGGAGCTCCCCCCCCCCACTAAAGTTGACAGCCCTGGCCCACAGACCCACTCACCCTCAGCCGCATAGAAAGCCTCAAAGCCTGTGAAATCTTTCTCATTGGAATAGTCAGAGCGGAAGGCGATGTGGAGGCTGCTGCCCACTGAGTGGAAGGTGTGGTTGCCAGGCGCCTGCTCAGTGTCCGTGCTCTCCTGCCCACATAGCGTGGCCAGCAGCTTGCCCCCAGAGTAGAGCTGCCTCCCGGACAGGACAAAGAGAGAGGAGGAATTAATCAGTCCCCACCCTTCCTCCTTGGGTCCCCCCTTGTGACATCTTCCCTCCCTGTCCGGCTCTACCAGCCCTTATGCCCACAGAGCTGTGAGCATCCCCTTGGGTCTTAACAGTTTTCCTGAAGTGGGGTAGTCAGTGTTGGGCAGTGGATAGAGCCCTGGGCCTGGAGTCAGGAAGACCTGGATTCAAATTCTGCCTCAGACACTTACTAGCTGTACGACCCTGGACAAATCCCTTCACCTGTCTGTGCCTCAGTTTCCTCATTTGTATAATGAGGGGACTACAAATAACAATGGGGAGGGTCCGTACAAATCATAGTAGGTAGGCAAGTGTGTCTACTCTGTTTAGAGAGGAGCTGGGTGGTCTGCTGAATGTCACCCATCTTCCAGCTTCCACCTACTTCTAGAACTGAAGGTCTCACCCTTTAACCCTGGGCCCTAACTGGTCAACTAGCATTTCTGAAGTGGTTAAGACTACAGAAGCCGCAGTGGCTGCTGGTGGTACCAGTCTCCCCTCCTCTCCCAAGGCCTCCTGGTCCTAAGGGGCTGCCCTCTCCCCGCACGTCAGAGCTGCAGGGGACCTTAGAGGCCATGGAGCCCAACCTCCCCATTGGACAGATAAGGAAAATGAGGCAGAGAAAGGTAGAATGGTTAAGAGACTTGCCCAGGGTCACTCAGCTAAAGCCTGAGACATTATCCAGCAGCAGCCCAGACAAGACTTGGTTTCTTTCACCCTCCCTACACACCCAAGGCTTCCAGATACCTTCACAAAGTCGTATTCACAGAGATAGGACAGCTCCAGATTGAAGTGGGTGAAGTAGAGGCGGATTTGGTAGCCAGGGGGGACTGTCAGGTTCCAGCTCTGCTCCTCATTGTTGGGGTACACTTCAGGAAAGCCGGGGGATGTGAGGCGTCCAAATACAGCCTTTGGCCACGGGCTGCTGCCCACTTGTTGCATCACCACTGCCAGCAAGAGACTCAGCCTGCTGGGAGATGACAGGTCATGAGGAGGACAGTGGGGACATAGAGACTGAGGGTTTAGGGGACAAGTGGTGAGAGTTTAGGGGACAGGACCCAAGGTCAGGGGGATTCAAATGAAGGACAAGGGGCAGAGGCCAGGGGACCAGGAGGACAGAGGGTGAAGGGGACAGAGCTCAAGGGTCTAGATTCAAATTGTTTGGATTAGAGACCGGGACAGGAGTGGTGGGTCAGGGGGATAGAGGGTAAAGGTTGGGGGCTTGGGAATGAGGGTTAAGGGCATAAGATTGGGATCTAGAGATCGATTAATCAGCCATAGTTCACATCTTAATAAATGTGGGCTACTGATGGAAAGCCTGTTACGGTATCTGAGGTACAGAAACTATGGATCACAGGCACAGGGATGAGGACCGGGACTCAGGAATCAGGGATTAGGGGGCAGAAAGTTCAGGTCTGGAGACAAAGGCTGAAAGGATTTGGGTCAGGGGACCTGGCTTTGATGCTGGGTTCAAAAAGGCAAGGGCTGAGGCCCAGAGCCAAGGCCCCAGCAGAATGATCCCCTCCTCTTCCCCTCTCCAGGAAGGCAGAAATTTCACGGTATTCCTAGATGGGGGATATCAGCCCCTTGCCCCACTCACCTCAGGAAGCCCATGTCCCCTTCTCCTAGCTGGATCTCACTCAGTGGCCTGCAGGCCCCATTCACCTTTGATCTGTTTATCTAGGTCTACCCCCACCCCCTTCACTGATCCAGTATTTCTGGGAATCCAGCCTGAACGGGGAGTGACCAAAACTCTCCGTGTCCGTTTCTGGGTCCCAAGTAGAGCCATTCACCACTCCCTTCCCACCACCTCCTGGGTGTTCAGGCAGGGGAAGGAGCCAGGGAGGAGAGGATACCCTCCCCCCTAGCTTGGGACAAAGCAGTAGAGTGTGTGCGGGGGATGGGAGTCAGGCCTTCCGAGAGGCAGCCAGACTGCCCGAAGGGGCCCCGGAGAGCAGAGGGAGACCAGCCCCAGCCCCTGGGCCACTGCTGAGAGCCTGCTTGTGTCCCTGCTGAAGCCAAAGGGACCTGCCTTTCTGGCCACCTGCCTCCAGGTCATATCCACTAACCACAGGTGGCCCCGAAGGATCGTCCCTTCTCCCTCCATATTATCTCGCCTGGTGACTTCCTCAGTTCCCTGGGTTCAGTTATTCTCTCCGTGTAGATGATTCCCAGGTCTATCAGTCTATCTTTTATCTCCCCATAGCATGAGCTCTTGAAATCAGAAGACCTGGGTTCAAATGCTACCTGCCCTCTGCGGGTGTTAGTCAAAGAATTAAATTAATAGTCTCAATCCCAGCTGACCTTTCTGTCATGCTTTAGAGATTACATAGCATTCTGCACACATGATCTTATTTGGGTCTCCTCACAATGACCCTATGTGATTGATCCTACAGGTGTGATTGTCCTTACAGATAAGGGGCTTAAAGCTCAGAGACATTTAGTGACTTGCCCAGGGTCACACAGCTGATGTGTCAGGGATGAGCGATGAACTCAGATCTATTTTCTTTTTTCATACATACATAATTTTTAACGACATCTTTTATTTTTACATCCCCCCCATGGCAAAATAAATCCCTTTCCCATCTCCTCCCCAGAGAGACATGCCTAGTAATTGAATAAAACAATAAGAGAGTGGTGTGTGTGTGTGAGAAAGGCAGTTCAGCAAAACCAGCCAGCCTACCTGAAAATGCATGTAGCAGTCCACACTCATTGTTCCCCACCTCTGCGAAGAAGGGAGGGAGGTACACTTTGTCATCTTTCCTCCAGGTCCAATCTTGCTCATTATAATTAAATAATATGAACCCAGATCTCATTAACTAAATCCAGCATTCTTTCCTCTATACCAGACATTTGGCAGCTAGGTGGTGAAATGGATAGAGTGCTGGACCTGGAGTTAGGAAGACCTGAATTCGAATCCAGCATCAGATACTAGCTGTGTGACCCTGGGCAAGTCCTTTGTCAGCCTCAGGGATAATAATAGGGATAATAATAAAACCTACCTCCCAAAGTTGTTGTGAAAATCAAATGAGATAATTGCAAAACAATTTGCAAACCGCAAAGCATTATTTAAATGCTAGCTTTTATCCTTTGTAACCATTGGCTCAAAGGGCCAATTATATAGGACTCTCCCCTTGTTGGTGGAGACTGATAATTCAATGATCCATACTGGTGGATTTTGTGAGAGCAGGAGATATGAGATTCATGCTCTTCTGGCTTCCACTTTGAGGAAGAAGATGCTCAGTTCTAAACTTTCTTCAGTTGCTAAAACGAGTGAAACACTGAGAAGAAACCAAAATGTAACATGAACTGATGCTGAGTGAAGTGAGCAGAAACCAGAAGAACATTGCACACAGTGACAGCAACATCGTGCAATGATCCACTATGATAGGCTTAGCTCTTCTCAGCAATGCAATGATTCAAGATGGTTCCAAGAGACTTGTAATGGAAAATGCTATCCACATCCAGAGAAAGAACTATGGAGTCTGAATGCAGATCAAAGCAGACTATTTTCTCCCTCTTTTTTTTTTCTTTCTCATGGTTTTCCCCTTTTGTTCTGATTCTTCTTTCACAACATGACTATGTGGAAATATGTTTAACATGATTGTACATGTATAACCTATGCCAAATTACTTGCTATCTTGGGAAGGGGGAGGAAAGGGAGAGAGCAAGAAAAATTTGGAACTCAAATCTTACAAAAATGAATGTTGAAAACTATCTTTACACATAATTGGAAAAAAATTAAATACTATTAAGTGCAAAAAAGAAAAGCAACCAACGTGTAAAACTTGGATCGTGTCCTTATTTCCAACTTGCTACACTAGAAATTTCAGGGGGGAATTTTCCCCTTGGGTGAGATCTGGAACTCTCTTTCTCTTGACTGAGTCATTCTCCCTAAGGGGGAACATTCATTCTGTATTGTCTGATATATATTCTCCTACGTACACTCACTCTGATTTCTATTTTGATATCTACTTGGATAAATGGGTTTCTTCACGATCTACTTGGGTAAATGGGTTTCTTCACGATTTGCTACATATCTTCCTTGTGGACTTGGCATCTGGTGGGAAGAGGGGTGGGTTAAGCTTTGGATATAGAGTTTGGAGCATTCCTTTTTCCCATTAAAAAAAATAGCAACCAGGAACTGTAGTTTGAACTTAAAAGTTACATCCCCAGACTAATGATATTTAAAGAAGCAGTTAGATGTAATTCTAGCCTAGTATCTCCTTTCTCTGAGAAGAGCAGAGTGTCCAAGCTCTGGAACCAATCTCCTTCTTCCCCTCCTGACAGGAATCAATGACTCTTTTGGAGAGGAGTTGGGGGAGGAGACATAGAGATGTTTATTCTTGCCTCTCTGTGAGCCACATCTGGACAGACACTCGGGCACATCACCAACATAGGCAGAAACAAACAGTATCCCTCCCCGCCCCCACCCCCACACTCCCTTTCCATATTATTTGGTGACTCTTGGTAGAGTTTAAGAGCGTAGAGTCTTGACTCAATTTCCAAGGGATGTGAGGCAGTAGATGAAAGTAAATGTTGAATTTAGAGCTGGAAAGAAGCTTGGAGATCATTTGGACCAGGGGTTCTTAACCTTTTTTGTGTCCTGGACCCCTTTGGCTATGTCTGGTCATGTTTTTAAATGTATAAAACAAAACACATGGAATTACACAGGAAATCTGTCATATTGAAATACGGTTCTAAGAAAATTTTTTAAAATTTATATACATTTTTATAAAAGTTCACAAAGCCCAGGCTATGAATCCCTGATATAAATTAATTCCCCTGACCCTGATTTTACTAACGCAGGAAGTGCAGCCTGGACATAAAGCACTCTGTGCCAGGCAGCAGGCACGTCAGGGAGGAAGGGACCAAGTATTAATCAGACACCTACTATGTGCTAGGCACTGTGCTCAGTACTTTACTAATAGTATTTTATTTGTTTTAAAGTTTATGATGTATTTACTTTGGCTTTCAATTTTACAATACAATTCATTTACATTCTTTTTTTAAAATTTACATTATTCCATTGGCTTTTCACAGCAACCCTACAAGAGGAAGAGTGGCCGGGGAGAAAGAGAGTAGACCTCCAAACCACAAAAATCTGGATTCAATCCTACTTCTGACCCATCCTGGCTGTGTGACCCTGGACATGTCACTTAACTCTCTTAGTGTTCTAGGCAACAAACTCTCTGAGACTATGAGTGGCAGAGAAGGTGCTGAACTGCTCTGATAGAAGGAGATCCCTCTATCAACAGAATCATAGGTCCAGACTCTATCTCTAACAACCCTGTGAGGTTCAAACTATTACTTACTATTATTTAATGATCTTTTGTTTCCACATTGCCTAAATTTCTCCCTATATCCATCTCCCTACTCATTCCCAGAGAGCTATTCTATTATTTTTTAAAATTATTTTTTAAAGAAAAAAAGAGAAAATAAAAAAGTCTGCAAAATCAATCAGTACACTGAAAAAGCCTGAGCATATACGCAATGTTCTACATCCACGAATCTCCCACCTCTGCAAAGGTGTGGGAGGAGGTGTCTTCTCATCTCTCTTCTTTGCAGCAAGGCTTGTTCTTTGTAATTTTGCAACATTCGCCTGTTTTGTGGTTATGTTCTTTACATTTACATTGTTGTGGTCATTGTATCTATTGTCTTCTTGACTCTGCATCAGTTCGTGGAGATCTTCCCAGGCTTCTTTGAATTCATCACACACATTTCTTTTTTAATTAATTTATTTTAGTTTTCAACATTCACTTCCACAAGATTTTGAGTTTTAAATTTTCTCCCCATCTCTTCCCTCCCCCCACCCCAAGTGGCATGCATTCTGAATACCCCTTCCCCCAATCTGTCATCCCTTATATCACCTCCCCCCCTTCTCTTATCTCCTTATACTTCTATTTTCCTGTAGGGCAGGATAGATTTCTATACCCCATTGTCTGTATATCTTATTTCCCAGTAGCATGTAAAAATTATTTTTTACCTTAGTTTTTAAAACTTTGAGTTCCAATTTCTCTCCCTTCTTCCCTCCCCACCCACCCTTATCAAGAAGGCATGCAATTTGATATAAGCCACATATGTGTAGTCATGCAAAACATTTTCATAATAGTCATGTTGTAAAAGACTAACTATATTTCCTTCCATCCTGTCCCATTCCCCATTTATTCTATTCTCTCCTTTGATCCTGTTCCTCCTCAAAGGTGTTTGCTTCTGATTACCCCCTTCCCCAATCTGCCCTCCCTTCTATCATCTTCCCTTCTATTATCTCCCTTCCCCCCTATTTTCCTGTAGGATAAGATAGATTTCCTTCCCTAATTAAGTGTGTATGTTATTCCTCCTTAAGAGGAATTCCTCCAGATCTGATGAGAATAAGATTCACTCATTCCCTCTTACCTCTCCCCTCTTTCTCTCTACTGTGAAAGCTTTTTCTTGCCTCTTTTACATGACATAATTTACCCCATTCTACCTCTCCCTTTCTCCTTCTCCCAGTACAATCCTCTCTCACCCCTTAATTTTAATTTTTAGATACTATCCCTTCATATTCAACTCACCCTATGCCCTCTGTCTCTATATATATTACCTCCAACTACCCTAATACTGAGAAAGGTTTCATGAGTTACACATATCATCTTTCCATGTAGGAAATGTGTTTCACTCTGTCTTTTTGTGGGTTCTGCTGCTCTAGACTTTGTTTAGAATCATTT